ATATCAGGAAGAAATGGTCAAAAGCCATAGAGGATGAGCACAGGAAGTGTGATTTGAACTGTTGGTGTGGATACCCTCATTTATAAGATCATAGCCATCTATAAAAGCTCTAATAAATCATCTAAACATTGCAGCTTTGTTCCTCGCATTCAAATATTACACTGCCAGATGCAAGAAGAAGGGATGAGGACTTCAAGTGGCCTCAAATTTTTCAGTGAAGTATTAGACAAGGTCCACAGCTGGGAGAGGTAGGAAAGAAGTGACATGAAAGACTTGAAGAGGGATGAAAAGGTTTAGAATAGCCTCTGTGCTGAGAGGGACAGCAAATCAGTTACAAAGGCTTAAAAAAATTGCCTTCTGCAGAGAGGGCTCAGTTGAGATTCATAAATTTGTAATGGACTTCCAATCAGCACACTTTGTGATTTTTTTTCCATCTCTGTTTGTGTATAGAAGCAAAGGTGGCAGATAACAGAAGTAATTCAAGGTTGGATTTTGGCAAGTGGTCAAGGTCAACAGGACAAGTGGTCAAGAGCTTCGAGCATAAGGGATAATAAATGGCTGAACTGATTCATCAAGAGATTGAGAAAGGGAAGGGAGGAAAATGTAGCCAGTGAAGGAATGATGGCCTATGAAAAGAACTAAGGAGTAGTGGGATTGGAAATTGTCATAAAGATGTAGAAAACGGTTAAGGGTAGGGTAAGGCAGAGGGAAAGATGGAATGATAAAAGACTATGATCAGATCAAGACATTTCAGAATTCATGACATGGAAATGGAACATGTGCATGATGGCAAGATCAGGAGTATGACCATCTCTGTGTGTGCCTGGCATAAAATGGAAGCAGGTTATGGGAACTAAGTAGACTAAGAACTGAGATGTTAGAGTATTTGAGGGGGTATCAATATGTATGCTGAAGTTCCCTAGTATAAGGGCAAGAGTTAAGATATATTGATAAATGAAAGAGAATGTTTTTGGGGGGTCAGTAGATAAAAACAACCAGAATCTTGATGAGGTAATCAATTTGAATTGTACGATCCTCAAAGGAGGAAAGGCTACTACTGAGTGATGGTGGTAAAAAGTTTAGAAGTAGCAATAGAGACCAAGAAGTATTCTTACTTCCCCATCACATCCAGTGAGTTAAGTGCAAACAATACTAGAAAGGGTGGTCAGGGACAGAATGTCAATAGGAGGGAGCTATGTCTTAGTGAGATTCAAAAGATGGAGAAAGTAAAAAAGCAAAAAGCTTACGATGATGTCAAGTTTATTAATTATAGAACAAGCATTACAGAGAGCACAATGCGCAAGACAGGCAGATATGGAATGGGACACTGTAGGGGTGGGGTGAAGGTTAAGGGATTAAGATTAAGGGAATGGGCCATGGGGGATAACTTTTGTACAATGACAGCAATGGGTTCAGAATCACTGGAAGGGGGAGAATATGAAGGGGCAGGAATATGCTAACCACCAGATATGAATTCAGGCAGATTACAAATGCTTAGAGAGAGGTCCCTTGAGGGAGGGAAATGATAGACTGTACAAGGTCTTTCCGTTAAGTTTAGACTAATAGCAGGTAGTAGTATACCTATCCCGTGAGGCCCAGGAGGCCACCTCAGAACAGAAAAGGGCAGGCAAAGATATGACTGAGGGAAGTCCATACAGTAGGCAGGAGTTGGCAATCTGAGGTGATTCTGGTCCAGGAATAACTGGGAGGTGGATGGTCTAGATCAGGGCTTCTTCAGCTTTTTCTATTTGTGACTCCTTTTCATGTTTCAACAGCATTTGGTGGAGTTGCATGGCCTGAAGGCACACACAGTGCAAAGTCCGCATGCTTTGTGTTCAGAACCAAGGCTGCAGTGAAGCTGAATGATGCAACACAGGCAAGTGCTGCCAGAAACACCTCAGATTCATTACACATTTGATTTTTAATTAATTTTTGGTCATTGCACGTTCAGAAACCTTCTACTGCTGCCAAATTTTTCACAACCCCACATGCGGTCATGACCCTCAGTTTAAGAAGCACTGGACCAGAGCTAATCCAGTCCTCACAGGGTCAATGGGAAGGCCCTGGACAAAGAGGCTAGAGGCAGGTGCCCTAGATCTAGTGCTGAAGCAGGACTCTCTGAGAAGACCCTGGAGGGAAAATCCCATAAATTATTCATTATATGTAATTTTCCAATGTTAGCTCACCATACAATAGCTACTTGATCAACCAATAGAGTTGTGTCACAAGTATTACTTAGCTATCAACCAACTAGACATTTCAAGACTTTGATACTAGTGCCCTATATTATTATTAAAGTAACCTTTTTTTTTTTTTTTAGGCAATTGGGGTTAAGCGACTTGCCCAGGGTCACACAGCTAGTAAATGTCAAGTGTTTGGTCTGAGGCTGGATTTGAACTCAGGCCCTCCTGACTTCAGCGCCGGTGCTCTATCCACTGCATCACCTAGCTGCCCCTAAAGTAACCTATTTTTAAAGCATCTAATTAGATTTGACATCCATAAATGGTTCATAAATGGCTCACAAACATACCAAAAAACTAACTAGAAATCACTATGTAGTATGGAATTTGATATCATATTAACATCATACATTGGCACTAGGCAAGCATTCCGTGTGACCTGTTAGCCTTCCTCTTTCAAAGCCTTTGTCAATTGTTCCATCATTAAAACACTGATCTCTCTAAATTCCATTCTCACACTATATATATCTACACTTCAATAGCCTATGAGTAACTCAAACTCATAAAGTTACAGAGTCCAAGAATCTTAAGCTGGAAAGGGCACTAGAGGTCATCTAGTTCAACATATACTGACAGATGCTAATCTTGCCTCCACTTAATCATTTGCAGTAATGAGGAACTCACTACCTCCAAAGCCAATTGAATCCATTTTTAGTCATCACCTATTGTTAAGAATTATTTACTGACATTGAGCAGAAATGTGACTCTCAGACACTTCAACCTATTTCTACTAGGCTCTACTCTCTAGGGTACCAAGTAAACTAAGTCTAATACCTTTTCCACAGGATAGTCTTATAAATTCTTGAAGGCAGTTAAGATGACTTCAAGTCTTTTCTTTTTCAGGTTAAACATGAGCTTCAAATGATCTTCACATGTTATGATCTGCAGTCCCTTTATCATACTGGTGACCCTCCTCCAGTTGAGCTCCAGTTAGTAAATGTCTTTCTGAGATTACTGTTTCCAGAAATGAACAGAATACTCCAGATGTGATCTGATAGGGGTAGTGTATATTAGAACTATCAACTCTCATTCCAAACACTATGCTTCTTCCACACCTCTAAAACAATTTATCGTTTCCTTCAAATAAGCTCCTGACTTGTCTAATTTTTTCTCTGAAAAATGACAGGAGTTTTAATTACTTGCTTTCTAAAGTTCCTTCTACCATCTTACTTTGTTAATGATGCTAGTATTCTTCTAATTCAATTCAATAAATATTTACTAAGCACCTACTATGTGAAAGGCACTGTGGCAAGTACTGAAGATACACAAATAAAAAACATACGCTACTTCCTGCCTTCAAGAAACATACATCCTCAGGCTTTAAAATCTAGTAGTCACCTATGACTTTTCCACCACTCCTTACATTCAATTGTCTTAAAAGAGGCCTATTCACTGAATAGAATTGCCTCACTCAAAGTGAGAACCTGAAAAAACCCTAGCTTAAAAGGGCCAAGGTCTCCCACTGCATCCTGGGCCATCTGCAGTCATACTGATCAATATCTGGCCACGGGACCCAGATGGCTCTGGAGGAGGAAGCGAAGCTGGTGACTTTGCACAGCCCTCCCTCACTCAAATCAAAGTCAATTGCAAGTCATGTCATCATCTTCCTGATGTCATGGTCCTCTTTGAGAACAAAGGACAAACCATACAACCACACAACACAACCACAACATCCAATCATCTACTAAGTCCTTTTGATTTTTCCTCTATTACGATGTCACTCACAACCATTCCTCCCTTTCCAACTTGCTTGGCTCATGCTTCACAGAATTTCAAATGAAGACAGGACCCAAGAAGCCATACGGAAGAAGTCATATCTGTCCAAGAGTGTCCTAAATGGTTTCCCTGTCTCCAATCCATTCTACACACACCTTCCTAAAATACTGCTTTCATTACATTACTTATCAGGTTAAAGTTCCAACTCCTCTCCTTCGAATTCAACACTTTTTTCAGTCTAACCCAAATTTCTTTCCTGCCTTATTTTCCCACTACAGCATTATGCCAATGCTACACTTGAGCCATGCTGATGAATTCAGTCTCTATTTCTCAAACATTTTCTGTTTTCATTTATAATACTACTCCCTCTGCCTGAAATTTCATCTTCATTTCCAAAGCCTTCCTAGCTTTCAAAGTCCAACTCAAGTCCCACAGTGATTTACTTCTCCTCTAAACTCCTACAGAAATTCTGTCTACACTATTCATTTGGAATTTATCAAATACTTCCTTATGTTATTTTTTATATTTTTATGTATAAATGTTTTATCTCCATGATTATTTTATAAGTACTTAGATGGCAAAAAGAGGAAGATATTTTTATATATTGTCTAGTGCCTGACACACAGAAGGCATACAAAACATAAGTGACTAGCTGATAATTATAGCTACGAACAAGAGACTTACAATAACATTGCAGCAATTTGGCACTATTTATTCATTTAAAAAGTACTTATTAAGCACCTACTATATGCCAGTTACTGAGTGGACTGGGAATACAGAGACAAAAATGACAACAAATTTTGGGACATGGCCAATATGGAATTTTCACATGCATCTGTTACCAAGGTTAAGAGGGAAAGAAAATAAATATTTACTAGTGAAAAAATAAAAAGAAAGAAAGAAAGAAATGTCAAAATATTTATCATCTTTTTTATGGTCCACAAAGAACTGCCTAAGAATTTAGGGGAAACCTACAGATTCCTATAATACACATTGCAAATTATAAAACTACATTCAATTCATTGAAAAAAATTTCCATCTTACCTTCATCTATTGATGCTTCACTACTATATCCATCATACTCTGCAGACAGAGGACTATATTTTTGTCTGGTCTCCCAAACATAATTCTTTTGTCTTCCACCTGCTACTGACAGCCTGGAATTGTGTGTCCTGGACAATGCTTCATGGTATTTACCCAGTGCTTCATCTTCACTTTCAGAGGATGAACCATGCTGATCTTTATCCATGTATGTATTATCTATTTTGAACAAATGGTGGTAGAAAATTATAACTTCCATGTAAAAAGGGTCACAAATTACTGAAAGTACTTTTATTTATCCTGAATTTAAGTACTTTTTAGAAACATCAATTTTTTTTAATATGAAGGCAGCTTTCACATTAAAAAAATTCATACTAAAAAAGATTGTTTTAGTTCTTATTTACTATGCTAAAAATTCTGATTGTAGAATTTTTCAGGAAATTATAGTGCTTAGAGTAGGGTGAGATATCATCTTATTCTCATTTCATGGACCTAAAACCACCCTAGTTGGTTTAATTATCTAGGGCTACCATCTTTTATAACTTTCACAACAGCAACATGATCTCTTAAGAACTCTATACTAGTCCCTTAATGTTAGGCCTATCAGGATAATACAAGTAAAATAGCTGCCGGGCAGCAAATAGCAGGTTAAAAAATTATTCAGCATACACAAGGTACACTGCAGCTTTCGTTTTCTGGTCCACTGCTTTCCAGCACAATTAACCAAAATTTGTGCTTTTTGTTAACTGTATATGTGTTACTAATGCTATGGGATAAAGCATCCCATTTCCTTAATTCTCCAACTGAAATGATACCCAGGCATTCCAGTTTCTCTTTTTTTCCCACTTTAAGCAACTATCTTAAGGCTGCTGAAATTAGCCATGGACTTCAAACTAAACCATACAAAATTTTAAATTCAGGAAACTACTGTAAGAACATTCTCTAAAAGTAAATCTATTCCTCTAGAGCTGGAATTCCTTCTTAGTTAAATGAGTCTGTACTATTTTAGCAACCAGTGTTTCACTTTAGAATCATATTTTAAAAGTTCAATAAACATTTATTAAGAACCTATTATATGCAAGGCAAATGATTAAGCACCACTTTTGTGCTATGGATATTAATATAATGATAATAATTTTAAGGTTAGGAAGCTCTTTACCCACAGTGTCTCATTTAATCATCACAACCTTCCTGGGACGTGCAAATTATTATCCCCAGAAACACAGAAGCAAACTAAAGCTGAGTTTACATGACCCACCCAGTATTATAAAGCTAGAAAATGAGGTGAGATCTGAAGCCAAAATACAAAAACAGATATGACACAAACCCTGCTCTCAACAAACTTACATTTTTTTTTGTAATTAGGGAACGATACATACACAAATAACTATAATGCAAAGGAAAGTAAAAGAAGTCTAAAGGTTAAATGCAGGCAAGTACTATAAAATGTTTAAGGAAATTATATTCTAATGGGAAAAATAATCAGTAAGTACAGATAAATGTAATAAAATTACATGTAAATGTAATAAAATAAATGCATAAGAGTTGGAAATTCTATAAAGTCAGGTGAGAAAGAAACAACTTCCAATTTGGGGGATGAGGGAAAGCTTCATGCATTTCTACCAAACATGAACCAAAAAACTTCCTCAATATATGGCTAAATGAGTGAACTACATGGTTTTGAATGTATTAATTGGCAAATATATATATGTTTTTATTTGACTAAAGAAATTTTTACACTAAATATAGTTTCTAAATAATTCAGACCAAGATCAGCACTAGACTATAATGTTCTTAGGTACAGGACTTGTGTCTATGCATCTTTGTACTCCACCCAGTACCTAGTAAAACCTTGCACAGAGTAGGCAATCACTAAATATTTATTGAGTTGATCAAGTATAAAAATGACTAGATAATGTATAAGGATATAAGAAAGAAAAAATTAAATTCACAAGAGATAGAAGTTATCAGTTAAACAATAAAGTAAAATTTTGAAAAGTTATACTTATTGAAAAGTTAGGAAACAGGCCTAGGTCTTTTTTTTTCATAATGCTCAAAATAACATTAATACATTTGTAACAGATACGAGATGAAAGTTAATGCTTATTAAAAATGCTACTCAATGAAGCATACTTTTTCCTTTATTTTCATTTTATTTTGTTTGTGTTTTATTCTGCAACATGGCTAATATGGAAATGTGTTTTGCATAACTTCATATGTATAATGGATATCAAATTGCTTGCCTTCTCAAAGAGGGGGGAAAGATGCAAAGGAGAGAATTTGGAACTCAATTTTTTTTTTAAATGAGCGTTAAAAATATTTTGATAACTATTAAGGATGAAAAGAAAATGCCACTCAATAGGAAAATTCAGATCAGTCTTAAAATAGTTAAAAATACATAGAGGCAAGATGAGAAATTTGTAGAAATTTGGAAAAGTCAGAAGGAAATTTGATCACCCAAACCAATGTCAAAGTACCTCACCTTTTTCTGGTACTTTCTCAGTATATTTTTCAACTTTATTTTTTGATTGTCCTTTATTAGCAAAAATGGCTTCATTTTTCTTTGTTTTTACTTCTACTTTCACCTTGGAACACTGCAATGTATTTATCTGACGAAGTTCTTTGGAATCCCCCAAACCAAATACTGATGACTTGTGTTCAACTATTTCCTGGAACTGATTCTTTGACTTATTTGATGATGCTATATCTTTTTTTATAAAGGATTTCTGTGTTGTATGCTGATTAATGTTTAACATATCTTTTGAAGGCTTTTCATTTCTCGAATTCTGACTTCCTTTTGTTCCTTTAACATACTTTCCCACTTTCTTCAAATCAGCAGGTACCTCTAAATCATTATGTCTGTTTTTATTCTCTTGAGAAAAAGAAACATCTTTACTATTTTTGCTATTTTCCAAAGACATGTGTTTAGATTTAGTACATTCTTCTCTTTTGTAACTATCTGTGATATTTTTTTGTTCCTGCATGAATTTATTTCCAAAGTTATTCTTCTGATTTCCATTCATTTCTTTCAATTTTGCCTCCTGCAAATGTTTCTTACCATCCATTGAATTCTTAAGCCCAACTTTTGTATTTCTGTTCCCACTCACTGGTTCTTGACATATGTCCTGATTAAGCTCTGACACCCCATTTTCAATGAAGTCTGCTTTCAAAAGAAAATCACCAGCATTATTAGTTTCTTTACATTTTGGTTGGTTTTGCTGTTTATCCTTAACATGTCCTAATAATCTTTCCTGATGCAGATCTTGATCTTTCTTGGGAGAAACTGAAGAACTACAAAACTGTGTTTGTTTTGTTTCATGTTCTAACATAGGTGCTGTTTTCTGGAAATTGTTATCTATTGATCTCTGCGGTATTGTGGCATTTTCTTCCTTAGGAAGGATAACTGTATCATTTGTTTGAAAAGTTTCATCTTCTGTGCGAAAGCCATGTATCATACTTGTTACCTGTTCAGCTACTGAATCAGTTAGGCTATAACTGACCTCTCCCACAGCACTGGTCAGATCTCCTACAGTACAGCTCAGATCTTCTACTGCACTACTAATTGTGTCAACCAGAGAAGACACTGAAGGTAGATTTTGCTGAAAATTTTTGAAAAATGCCATTTTCTAGCTCTCTCTTAAAAGATCCAATAAAGTTTTTTGTCTTGCTCAATGAAAACAGTAGCCACTTTTGTGCAATTAAAAATTTTACACTGACTTAATTGTTGATTTTCATCAGTTTGGCAGAGACTGTGACATCATATTTTGGTTTTAATCTTCTTGGAAATTCCTTTTGAATCAAGAAACAACATGATAATGAAGTTGGAATTGTCCCTAAAAAGTTGAATCACTTGCATTAAACACAATTTTCCCCATTCCATATCTATTACAAGAACAATAATGTAATAATTCCCCCTTAATACTACATTTTATTCTATATCAGCAAAGAATTGTAAAATTACTTTTATTACATATTTTCAATTTGGTTTAATCTATACTCTGATGATCTACTATATGTTCCTAAAAGGCTTCCTGTATCTTGTCAAAGTAGAGAAGAAATTAACAGGAAGATCTAGCTAACTTTTCACTTAAAAGAAAATAATTATTTCATAAAAAGGGTCACTAAATGGCTGCTAAAATTAGATTATCTCATATCCTAGACCTCAATTTCTTCTAGTTAAATTGTTGGTGATGGTCAGACATAGGACTAGTTTTACGTATAATTCAGACTGATCCTAATCAGGTCGTAAAATCTTTCTGACTTTCATGTCACAGCATGGAATTCTGCAAGCAATAGATTTCTTTTAAATCAAAGGAATAAGATGGGACTATCAACTTCTCTATTTTTCAAAAGCAGGAAAATCAACCTCTTTTCCAAAGAACATTTCCCTCTCCAGCTATGGTCCTTCAAAATCATTCTCAACTGATTAATACATAGGAATAACTCAGCTTTAAACTTAGGATGCTCAGAAGTGATTAATGAGTTTCTGATACATCACATAGACTATAACAGAGCAAATACAGAAATTCCATCAATATATAAGTAATTCCTAGAATAAAGGTTCTAAAGTAAGAATAATGTCCTTTGCGTGTTTTGTTAATATTCTAGCAAACGGTGCTATTTAATAAATTTCAAATAATAGTAAAGTTATATATGCCTAATGACTAAGATAAGAGAGAAGACTACTGCTCTCAAAAATCAGGAGCCACACTAAATAGTCATAATGAGACAGATCAACCAGTGTTCACATGAGTAGAAATCAAGTTTGATTATCCTCTTGTGAGGAGGTCCCAAGACAATTTTTTTTCCTCTACCTGCACAAAAGGGTAAGCTAGAATTCGATCAAATGGATTTCTTCTAAGACCAAAAGCAAAAAGTTCTAGAGGACTATTTGGTCCAAAGTCTTATGCTCTATAAAGTATCATACTTCTAGCTTAATTACTACCTTTGAAAAAAATTCCCATTCTCCCAATTGGAGTTTTAAAAATACACATCTACAATAAGCATCGTGTAAATACCCTTTTGTAAAAGTATATTTTTATCCATATTTGTGCACTATATTACCTATTACTAAGCATCAAGCTACTGTTGAATGAAAAGATAACTTACTAAATAATCAAGTTAGTGTTTTAATCTTGGTTCACTGTAGGTAGGGTTGCTTCTACCTTCTTATTTTGGTCTTTTGAAAACAAAACAGATCTCCTTATTTCTACTTTGGCAATCCAACACAGTAACAAACAGATCATGGTTTGTTTGTTTTTAATTGGCAGGATATAGATACTTACAAATTTTATCTTGTGAATTCTCCCTTGTACTGTATCCTGAACCAAGATCTGGAAAGCCACCAACATTTTCAAAACACAACTTCTTGTTAATATAGAGAAAAAGGAGCAGCATCAAGATTATAAACACCCCAATAGCTGACAGGACTCCAACTGCCTCTGGAGATACTAGAGAGAAAAAAAGTCATAGCTATAAACATTTATGCAACTCTTAAAAAGGTTACAAATAAAAAGAAATCCCCATACACCTATTTAAGCTATTGTTTTATTTGCAGCAAACCTTTACAGCTTTCAAGATCCCCCAACACTGGTTCATAATTTAAAGGTTTGACTCATTCTGCATTTTTTCATCACATGATTTAATGCTGGATATGCAATGTACTTGTCAAGACATTTCCTATAAATTCTACTGATAGCTGAAGCATTCAATACAAAAACACAAAAGACTACAGAACAACATTGAGCAGTATCATCACGTATTCACCTAGTTAACATAGTAAGCATTTTCATTATTTTTCTAATTCATTAAATATTTATTATCAACTATGTGCAAGCATTTATTAAGCACATTCTTTAAGGATAAGACTTTGACCTTTACTCTGAACTCCATATAAATGTTCTAGGTGCTGGGAATACCCCCCCAAAAAAACAGAAAAGAAAAACACTCACTACACTCAAGGAGCTTCAAGTGTCAGGGAAGGTTAGATTAGCCTTTGGTATTAAGACAGGCAGAAGAAGTGGCACTTGAGCTGACCTTAGAAAGAAGTTAAAGATTCCAAAGAGGAAAATTAGATGTATTTCAAACACAGGGCATAGTCTGGTAAAGGCACAAAGATAAGAAATGGACTCTTCTGGTCAAGGATCAACAAGAAGGCCAATTTGATTATAATGCAAATGAGAAATAATACTAAATAAGTCTGGAAATATAAACTGGAAGTTGATTATAAAAAGCTTTAAATATCAGGGTATGGAATCTGCATTTTATTCTGGGGGTATAAGAAAGCCACTGAAGATGCTTGACAATGGTCAGATGGTGCCTTAGAAAGATTCTTTTGTCAGCTAAGTGGAGGACGAATTAAAGTGGAGAGCAACTTGAAGCAAACAGACCCAACAGGAGGTTACTGCAGTAATCCAAGCAAAAGGTGGAATGGGCCTGAATAAGGTTGTGATCATATGGAGAGAATGGACAAATAGATGTTATGGAGGCAGGGTCAATAATACCTAGCAAATGTTTAGACAGTGGGGATAAGAGCAGGAAAAGTAAAGGATGATGCCATTTAGTGGTATAACTTCAGTCAAGTTAATGGGGAAAAGTGCAATCATTCCATTTCCATCTCAAAAACCATACATGTGTCACTTCTCCCTATCAAATAAAGTCGGAAATGTTTAGCCCTCCAGAGTGGATCAAAGTAGATCTCACCTGTCACTACAAAACTCCATTCCAACCACACAGGTCTGACTGTATCTTAAACAGGCCACTTCTACGCATTGATTTTTCATGCACATTTCTCAGCACAGAATGCATGCCATGATTCTTTCTCTTCATATGACTATCTTTTAAGAGAGAATTCAAATCTCACCTCTTCATTGAACTCTTTCTCAAACTCAGTGATAATTTCCCTTCAACACTTACTGCCTATACTGCATAACTGATGCTTAGTATCTACTATGCATGATAGGAACAATTTACATTTATGTAGCACTTTAGGACTAACAAAGCACTTTACAGAGGAAGATGAAGACCGAAAATAGGGGAGAGCTCAGGAGGTATTGTTAAGGTAGCAGCTATCAATGACTTTGCAACCCGAGACTCAATATTGCCTAACCCTTTAGTGTTTTCTCTGTCCAAGCCCCATTCTGCCCTTTCCCCCAGTCAGAGGATATAGCACAGCCTAACACACACACACACACACACACACACTTCCGAGGGACACAAATAACACAAAACATTATAGACGTATAGGGAAAGTCATCCAGCAACACTAGACCTCATGACTCTTGACATAAAAGAGGACTCATCTGGTTTTCTTATTCTTCCCTTTTTATCAACAAAATGAGGTTATAGCCACAGTGTGACAGGCAGTTTGGAAATACCAATGGAGAGACCAAAGCACTCCCTACTTTTATATGAGGCACTCTTAGAGTAGGAAAGAAGCTAATATCCTCAATTAGGGATATTTTGATAAGTTCTTGCTCCCATACCTTAAATGCCTTTCCTTTGTGATTATGAAAATTACCCCAGCCCAACCTCTTTCTTGAGCCCAATATGCATTTCCAATTGCTTGCTAAACATCTCTAATTAGATGTTCCACCAGTACCTTAAACCAGGACCTCAAACTGAACATGTGCAAAAGTGGAGACTAAGTCAGTCATATTGCCCTCACCCTACTTAAGGGGACAATACACTATGACCTATTGTTGTTGTTTGTCCTTCATTCTCAAAGAGGACAATGACTATGACCTGATAACTTCATCATGTAAAAACCCACCTAAATGCAATCAGTCAATCTAAAGAGTGAACTTGGAGTGAACAAGGCCTGGACATCATCTTCCCCTAAAGCGACTTCAAGTAGGTGCAAAAGGAAGTCTGTTAGAATTTGGTGAGGGACTTAGATATGCCCTATGAGGCTAGTTTAAAGTCAGGAAATGGGTTTGGAATCAAAGATTCCAGCACCTGCTAGCTTATGGTGGAAGCCTCCTACCAAGTCCCTGAGAAGGAACTGCTTGGGAGGAAACTGATCCAGGTTCAGCCCCACTCTCCCCTATTCCTTTAGCCAAAGGACCTTCATGAACTTTATAGGACTAGAGGATTTCATCTTTTTCCATTGCTGCCCTAGTAATACATCTGGAACGTCAACAGATGACAGCTGTATCTGGGACAGGAACTAGGAACAGACTGGACATACTGAAGAAAGGCAGACTGAAGGCTTGATGGGGAGATCAGCAGAAAAGTTACACCTTCCCTATGGAGAATATATTGAGGGCTCTAGCAAATGGACTTCAAGAAGTTCCAAGTTATCCCTCTGCCACATGTGTTCTCTAAGCTTTAGACCACTTTCTCCTGGACTCTGTATGTCCTGATAGGAGAATGTGTCACAGACTTTTGGAAGAATATTTTGTACAACTTGTTCTTACTCACTTTAGTAAATACCCCTAACTAAAAGGTAATTGTCTAGGTGACTAATGAATATGAACTGATAATCATCAGGAAAAGCACAGTAGTGGGAACTCCAGAGCTACAGAGAATTCAACAAACACCCCACAACCATTCAGGGCTATCCAAGAGCCCTGAGGTAGGGAAAGCAATGGTCTTTCTCTGGGTACCCAACCTATCAGTGCAAATGTGGGTTGTGAGATTAGGTTCAGAATCTACATTTGCCATATTTCCAAATCTGAATTTATTATACTTGTGCAAAATGCACTTCTTCTTCTGACTTACAAGTCAATGGCATTGGCTATCATCTATTTACCCATATTCAAATTTGTGGAGTTACACTAACTCTTCCCTCTTTCTCATCTCCTACTTTCAGTTGAATAAAGTCAATAAAATCAATACCAGATATAGCTCTGGCCCCAAATCTTACTTTACCTAACAAATAAGCAATATAATTCTCTTCCCTTCTGATGTTTTTCACTTTTGCCACAGAACCTATAAACCCCTCCCCCCAAAATTCAGACTCTGGTTTGGATTTCTACCTCTCCCACTGCCTTCCCACCCCAAATATATTGAACTGGATATGCAGTAGACATCTTAAATTCAACATGTCCAAAACGGAACTCGGTATCTCCCTAAACCTTCCTCCTCTTCATACCTTCCCATACTACAGAGGGCAACATTATTCTCCTAATCTCCCAGGCTTGAAACCGAGGTGTCATCCTCAACTCTTCACTATCTCTCACTCTTTTGTATCCAATCTTTTGCCAAAGTCTATTGATTTCACCTTTGCAATATTTCTCAATCATATACCCCCTTCTCTCCTCTGATATGCCACCACCCTGGTACAGTCCCTTATTACCTCACATCTAGACTACTGCAATAACTTGTGGCTGGGTCTGCCTGCTTCAAGTTTCTCTTTCCTCCAGTCCACCTTCCATTCAGTCTCCAAAGTGATTTTCCTAAAATGCTGGTCCAACCACATCACCCCCTCCTCAATAAACTCTAGTGGTTACCTATCATCCCTAGAAACAAATACAAAATCCTGTTGGGGGTTCAAAGCCCTTCATAACCTAGTCCCCTCCTATTTTTCAGTCTTTTTACTCTTTATATTCTCTCTTTGATCTAATGACACTAGCCTCCTTGTTGTTCCATGAGTAAGATATTCCATTACTTGACTCAAGGCATGTTTTCTTGTTGTCCCACATGAAATGTTCTCCCTCATTAATTCTGCCTCCTGGCTTCCTTCAAATCCCAACTACAATCCCACCTTCTATAGGAAGCCTTTCTCAATCTCTCTTTATTCTACTGCCTTACTTGTATTAATTATTTCCTATTATCCTGTATATTACTTTTTTATACATAATATGCTTGCTTGTGGTCTCCTCCATTGGATTATGAACTCCATGAAAGCAAGGTCTATCTTCAGCCTTTCTTTGTGTCCCCAGCACTTAGCACAGTGCCTGGCACATAGCAGATGTTTAATAAATGCTAATTAACTGACTGTTCTAGAAGGAAGGAAGGAAGGAAGGAAGGAAGGAAGGAAGGAAGGAAGGAAGGAAGGAAGGAAGGAAGGAAGGAAGGAAGGGAGAGAGGGAAGAAAAAAAAGATTTCTTGTGTCTACTATGTGCCACACACTGTGTTAAGCACTTTACAAATATTATTTCATTCCTTCCTCATAATAATCCTTCAAGACAGGTGCTATTATCACTCCTATTTTACAGTTGAGGAAACTGAGGTAGATGGAGGTTATTTCTACTTTCGTAACATTTCCCAAATATGTCCCTTTCTCCCACTCACAGAGAAACATTCTGATGCAAGATCATACAGTTAGTAAGTTTTTGAGACAGGATTTGAACACCAGGCCTAGTTTTCTATCAGCTAAACCACCTAGCTGCCTCTCATCATCTCCTTACTTATCTGGAGTCATCAACTCCTTGCTAATCATTTTTGTAGTCATTTCCATTGTAAAGGTCATTCTCCTTTGCAGAAAAAAAACAAAAACAGAAGGAAT